TTTAGGTAGGCGTGGTTAACTCTTAACTTTTATAAAGAATATCTCTTTGGTTTTGAGACTTTAGTGTTTGCAACTTTACAGATCTTCTTTATGCACCAAGAGCTTGTAACACTCCAAAGAGAAAGGAAAAATTGAAATCGCATCATATGACCCCTTTAAAATTTTTGTCCGGCTCCAAAAATGTTAATAGTAACGTGCACTTTGCATGTTCATCCATGCCTAAATACTGCTATTTTCAATTGTTTAATTGTCAGAAAAAAATGTTTTGTAGATCCCGATTGTGTAAGATATATAAATACCACTTTGTCTTATAAGGGTTGTAAATGATTTGATATTAAAATAAAATAGTATTACATTTTTAAGTAACAAATCAGTGAATTAGCTTGTTGTGTTGCTAGCTACTATCAAAAGGGAAGCTTGTAGCTTAACTACTTTTAATTAGTAATTTGTTGTTTGCAAGTTACAGTTTCAAATTAACTCCTCCAACTCAAGAAAAATCACACAATAAAGATCAAAAGAATAGAGCAACATAAAAAGGAAAAGATGAAAAGGAGAAGAAAACAACATACAAGGGTTTTTAACTAGCACAGAACAACACATAAATAGAACTAGTGTTGAAAATGATTTGCACTTTGAAACCAAGGTGAGAGAAAAATCAATTGTCAGAAAATAATAATAATAATAATAATAATAACAAATAATGATGCCGGTTACAAAGGCTGGATGGGCCTTTTTGGGATAAGATTCACACAAACCCATTTTGTATTGACTGGCACTAAATACTTTTCTCCCTACTTCCTTTTAGAGCTTTTTGTCTGTGGCCGACTGTGCTCTGGAGATTCAACACTCGCAGATAGCAGCATGACACACTGGATCCATAAAATGATTACTGATCTGAATAAACCCAGACATTTTTCAACACCTGGCTGCATTTATCTGTGTGTCATGTTGGAAACTGAATGAATAAGCAAATGAGTGACTGAATAAGCAAACAAGTGATTGAACAAATTACCGTTTGAATGAATGAACGAACGAGTGAGTGAGTCAATGAATCAATGATTCAGTGCTATATTAAGGGAGTGATAGTGATACACTGAGTAAGGTAAACACAAAATGAATCAGTCAGTGAATGAGCAAGGGAATCTGTGAATGAGTTGTTTATCGATTTAGTGAATGATACAATGAACGAAGGAGCAAGTTAGTGAATGCATGAATAAATGAATGAGTGAGTGATTGTATGAACCAATGATTGAATCAACGATTCAGTGTGTTACACTGAATGAGTGATAGTGATAAGTGAATCACTAAATAAAACAGTCTGTGAGCGGGCAACTGAATGAATGAATGAGAATTTTATATTGAGAAAAAGAGTGATACATTGAATAAACCCGCTGAATGAATCATTGATTCAGGATGTTACATTGAGTGATAGTGATACATTGAATAAGTGAATCACTAAATAGATCAGTGAGCAAACAACTGAATGAGTCACTAAATTAATCAGTCAATGAACGAGTAAATGAGTTGGTGAATGAGTTGTACATTAAGTCAGAGATACAGTACAGTGAAAAAAGAGCAAGATAGTGAATGAATGAGCGAGTGAATGAATGAATCAATGATTCAGTGTGTTACACTGAGTGAGTGATAGTGATGCACTGAGCAAATAAATCATTATATGAATCAATCAGTGATCGAGTAACTCACTGTAAATGAGAGTTGTACATTAAGTAAGTCAAAGAGTGATACATTGAACGAATGTGTAAGTTGTGATACATTGAACGAATGTGTGAATAAATGATTAAATGCATGAACAAATCAACAAAATACATTGAGTACTGGATGTGAATTGCTAAAATGAATAGTCAGTGACGAGCAACTGAATGAATGAATTAGTTATATACTGAGTAAGTGAAAGAATGAGTGAGTTAGTGAATGAATGAGTGATAAAAACTGAATAAGTGAGTGAGCCCTTTTTCGTGATGTGTATCTTCTCACTCGATCCATGTTTCACGCAACGGGAGTAAAAGAGCCTCACTAAAGGAGATAAATGCCTTCACTCATGCTAAATGGCAGGGAAATGTCAATGCATTGTCCAGGCTGGTGTCACCTTTAGTCACGCCTCATTTACATACCTCACAGATTTGGCCAATCAGAAGGAATCTCATGGAAAGGGCGCATGCTGATAGGCTATTGTATACATGACCGCTGAGGGATATTTACGCCCTGCTGCCTGCTAAAAGACTGTTATTGGGATTCATTAGTTAGCAAGCAGAGGTTTTCATTTACGTTTCTCTGAACATTTAGACCAGGGCACTCAAGCTGTATGGGCAGCCTGGAGCTGTCATGATCGCACTGTAGAATCCACCGATATTAAAAGCCTAAAGATTGTTAGCAAAAAGTGTGTCTGGAAATAGTGGTGTGAATGGCGCAGAAGAGGGGTGATTTAGCTCCTACAAAATGGCCCAATTACGTGCATTTATAAAAGCAGAGATCACGGATACTAATTCAGCTTTTAGCTTTTGTGGTCCTTTCTGTTTCTACCAGTTTCATTCTTTTTCTCCATTCCCTTTTGTCACAGAATTACGTATGCTTTCTGAGTCCTTTTCTGAGGCAAGGGTTACAAAGGCAAGGATGAAAACACATTACATATCATGTTAAATGAGGGTGACAGAGAGTCATCACTTAAAGGGATTTCAATTTTGAGTGATAGTGACGGCTGCGGTGGAAAAAACAAAGGTTATTACATAAAAGGATCTTTAAAAAGAAATTGAAATAAGGTGTAATCAGTTAAAAAAGGGTTTCAGAAAGACTGATGGCGCCAGAATAAATATATTTCAAAGATGATAAAAGCTAACCAGCATGAAAAGAGACTGATCCACTGCTAGCACGGACTCCAAGGTTGTGTTTAACATATTTACCAATTACCAGCGCTACATGAGAACCATTAATGGATATGGAATGTGTCTGATGAACTCACTGTCAGAGAAGGAGTGCTCAATAAATGAATTCTGGTACTTTTGCTAAAAAAAATGCAGCAGCTGCAATTTAATAAAAATGGGGAAGAACTTTAATACGATCATTGTCAAACTTTATATGATGCTTAGCATATGCTACACTCTCAGACAAAAAAGGCTGTCACTGGGACTGTAGCTATTCAAAAGGTACTAATATGTACAATTTAGGTACAAATATGTACCTTTAAGGTAGTAAAATGCACCCTTCAGGAGTAAATAAGGTAATAAGGTGTACCTTTAGAAAGGGTACCGTCTCAGTGACAGCATCTAACCCTTTTTTTCTGAGAGTGTATAAAGGTTTGTTCGTGTTATTATGTCACATTATGAGATATATAATGTCACACTGTGAGACAATTACAGTTTCTAGAAAAAAGTCAACGATGTGACATATATCCATTGCAATCTGCGAAAAAAGTCACATTGTGAAATATAAAGGGATTCAATTGCAGAAAAGTCACAATTTTGCAGGAAATACAAGAAAAAAGGTTGCAGTTACAAGATAATAAAGCCCTATTGTGAGATATAAAGCTGCAATTTTCAGTAAGTTACAATTTTAATTATAAGAATTAAAGTCTATATTGCAAGAAATGGACATATACAGAATCAAATGAAGTCAGTTATTAGAATTAGTCATATTGAGACATATAAAGTCAAATCAAAATGTAAAAATAAATCAAAATAAACCTAAATTAAATTTCATCTATGTGATCACTGATAACTATAAGATCAATTAAATGTTAAGCACTGTATAAGGCAATTAATTTTTATAATAAGTTTAATATAAGAAAGTCTTACTGTGAAATATAAAGACACAACTGCAGGTAGTCAACATTTTTATGTATAAAGTGACAAACTCGCAATTAAATATGTAAAACTGAGAATTAAGTCAAATTTTTGAGATATAAAGTTGCAAATACAATAACTGAAGTCTCTTTTGCATGGAATTGTCACAATTATGAGAAATAAAGTCGTAATTTTGAAATATAAAGTTGCAATAAAATATCAATTGTCAGATGTAAAGTTGTTTTGTTGTTGTTCACGTTGCTTAAATAAAAGAAAATATCCTGTGTATCCCAGCAATATCTTCAAGTCTTCTAGCTAATCTTCTTAAGTAATGTGTGCCAGCATATTAAAATAATGATGCCAAAACAACTTTGTTTGAACACTTGAAATTATGTTATTTTTATGGGGCTTTTAAAAGATCTGCTAATGACTGCCAGTGAAGCAGTGTCTGCGCTCACCTCGAGTTCCATTGAAGAAGAGCGTTTGTCTGCGTGGGTTCTGGATGACCACGATTGAGCCGTCATAGTTCTGGAGACGACAGGAGATCTGTGCTGTTCCCCCCTCCAGCACGGTCACGTTCTCAGCCTGCACGGCCTGCCCCCGCGCTGAAAGAAAGAGGGCTAAGAGAGTTAATGCAGAACTCTCATTTTGTGAAATGAATCATTTATGAAGATATTTTTTGATGGACAGAAGGAGACAAGGTGGCACATGGAGCAATTTTGAAGATAGAAATACCTCCGTGACCAATTAACACCTTGCTCACGTAACTACCTTTGTGTTTAGAAGCGTGAACTATGCAGAAGAGGAGAGACCGAGTGAGTGAAAAAAGGAAAATAATGAGAGACTGACAGATAGAGAGAGACAGCGAGAGGGAGAAAAAGAAAGAAAAGGGTCCTAATTAAGTGCTGGTAAGACCAATAGCATCGTTATCTTTATCCATTACTGTGGGCTGACACACTTCTCTCTTCCATCTGCTCGGTCTGACATCCAGCTCGTGAAAGAGCCAGTAATGACGGCTTTTTTTCGGGAATGAACTCGGATCAGTCATACGCAGGGAACACAGAACATCTAATGGCACTTTCACTGCTAAATCTAACACCATGCCTTAGTTGAACGTAACATCTACTGCATGTTCTGGGTGACGCTCAAGTATTGTTGATGTTTATTTTAGCACAATATAGAGGAGGTTGGACATGAGGTCATCACGGCTGGCCCGTGCGAGCATGCTGCTGGAACCCTCAGCACATCATTAGCCGTGGTCTTCGTGGAGAGCCTGTCTCCGGTGGACTGTAATGATTCACAACCCTGACACCAAGGCACCTCATTCTTCACCAGAACAGACTCGATCTGATGACATCACAGCAGATCACTAGGGTAAAACTGTCACAGCTGCTGATTGGCTGAGACCTGTCTCCTACATCACTCCACTCACCTTGCTAGGACAAGATGTCTGACACGCTCAAACTGACATGTTACAGACATGCTGTATATAGCTTGAGCTTGGAACAGTTTATGGAGTATTGTGAAGGTGACTCATTTCACACTATAATAATAATAATAATAATGTGGAGAAAGTGAAGGGTGTTTCATCTATAGGCACTTATGTTCCAAGGGTTGTGTTTTTATTATAACTTAACATTTTTCTTTTTTTCCTCTTCTTGTTATATAAACATCGTGTTAAAACTGTCTTGGAAACTTTTCCTCACCAATTTCTAATTTGTTTATGCAGGAGGGACAACTGTCCTTCAGTGTCATTTCCAACAATTTTGCCACTAGTAAAGTTAGTGTACTTGTTTACCACTTACCACTTATATATATATATATATATATATATATATATGATGGTCACATTAAAAAAGTCTTGGAAACTTTTCCCCATGAATTCATAATTTATTTGTGCATTAATTTTATTTTGCTACTTTTCAAAAGCCTATTATGTATACGTTTTATTCTTTTACCTTCAGCTCAGATCATAATATAGAAATAGATAATAAAAAAATATGAATTAAACTTATTTGAATATTATTTTAACTATCATAACATAAAAAGTGACATAACAGTAAATAATTTCAATATCTATTATGCGAAAATATAAATTTATACTCAAATTACAACTGTCCCTGTGTCATTTCCACCATAACCAACAATTTTGCCACTGGAAAAGTTAGTGAACTTGTTTTTTAAAGGGGACCTATTATGCAAAATTCACTTTTTGGACATAAATGTGTGTTGGCAGTGTTGGCAGTGTGTGTACACAACCACCCTATAATGATAAAAATCCACCCACTCCTTTTTTTTTTTTTAATCTCCATAAATCATAAGCAGCGTCTCCCAACTACCTGTTTTCCAATTGGTGCTAATGTGACGTCCCATTAGCCACAGGCCCCGCCCACGAATGTTGACAGACACTGCCGTTTTAACATAGAACCGCCCTGAGTGAGTTCACAGCGAGTTGTACACAGTCCGCCATTGCTGCCCTGACGAGAATGTCTCCCAAGTGTTTTAGGTGTTCTGTAGCTGGATGTATGAATCCACATAGCTCTCTCCTTACTCCCGAAATTTGAACCGCTGAAGACAAGGTGGATTAATTTTATTTTCGAAGAAAATGCTAGTGATGGCAAAGTGAAGCGTTCTGAACCAGCGAAGCTTTCAACACAATTATATCGGAAAAAGGTTCATTACTCGAAGCTTTTTAAAACGGTTTATGCTGTGGCCATCTAGTGGTCATAAAAATAAATAACACCTTTCAAAGATCACATGCTTTTCTCAAAACGAATCAAGCTCCGATACAGTGCTTCAATGTGAAATGTGTTGTTTTTTTGATACAAGCTTCGGTGTTGAACGTAACGTCACCAGAAAATGCTCCCTCAACTCTACCGAAATTCGTTTATGTCTGCGTGAATCTTTTTACACTGGACTGCTTTGTGAATGAGGGTCAGTAAAGCAGGTTTTGCACAAAAGTTGCTCCTGAAGGATGGAGCAGTGCCAGCTGTTCGTGATCCAGCTACACCTCCAGAAGAAGTAAACGTATCACTCGTTAGTTTTCCAAATTGCCTTTCTAAAAGAGCTTCTTGGCACTTTGTAAAGCTAATGTTACTAAAGCTACCATTGTCTGTCTGTTTTCACTGATGCTGCCTTCACGTGCTACCAGAATGATCGTAAATAAGGATCTTATAAAGTTTGTATGGCACCATGAGTTATTTTTATCGCGCCGTGCTCCCATCTGTGTAATTCATAAAGTGCATTTTTTTATGCACAGTACAATCAGATGATTGACTTTTAAACCGAGTGCGTCTTCTGTAAAGGCTAGCACCGGTATGGACCCTTTTCACAAGACTGATGACGCGTTTAACGGTCATTAGCATCGTAAATCCTCGAAAGTTTTTCATATTTGTATTTTTTTTTTTAAATGTATGTACATTTATAACACTATGCTTTGTATTATATCACCTTTGCATCAAATTATAAAAAAAACAGTTAACGCTAATGCGATTTTAACAAACTATAAAAAATGATCTGTAAGGTATTTTGAGCTAAAACTTTACACACACACACACACACACA